TCAATTCCATTACTTTTTAAAAGTCCTGAAATTCCGTGGCTATAAATGTGCGGCCATTATCAGAGACTAAGGTCTGTGGTAGGCCAAATGCAGCGAAAATTTGTCTACATTTCTCTATTGTATTCTGCACCGACATATTATTCATAATGTGTACTTCTGGCCATTTTGTATATGCGTCGACTAAGACAAGAAACGTATATCTCATAAAAGGGCCCGTAAAATTTATGTGAACTCGAACTCGAACTCGCTCGAACGGTTGTAACGTCGTTTCCCAATGATGTTTGGCCTTACAACTCGGATTATTGCTATAAGTCAGCGCTCAGAAATAGTTGCACATTTCGGGCCGATTTCCGAGACGACGGGCGGTATTCATAGTCCGTTCTTATATTCAAGATCGTCTTAAGCACGAACTTATATTCGCTCTCTTCGTCAGACACAATGTATGTGTGACGAAGAGAGCGAATATAAGTCCGTGCTTAAGACGATTTTAAATATAAGGAAGGACTATGAATACCGCCCTATGAATACCGCCCTGAGACTTGACACTTAGCAATCTTGGGTGACATCATGTTTCATATGATGTTTGATTGATTTGTTATTTATATTATTTGCATAAGCTTAAGGGTTTTCCTTGCTATAATTTGAGCTTGTTTGTCATTTTATACTACACAGTGCTTCTTTTTAGTGTTGTTAATGAATTGTATATAGTACATTATCAATGGTACCGATTAGTTTGATAAATAAATCGGTGATATTTCTATCTGCGATTTTATCTAGTAACAGGCAACTATATCAAATTTGCGTCTATCATTGTTCAACGCACAACAGTTCTGACAATGGCTAATCATGGTACGATATATACTTAAGAATATATTTTTATTTCACATATATGATTCTGTTTAGGTTATGTTTCATTTGATTTTCCAATTGTTTAAAGAAGAAGACAAAAGTGAAGGTTCTGCGGAGATGGAGGTCGAAAACGAGGAGGAAAAGACTGAGGAGCTCGACAAAATATTAATATAATCCGATAGTGAGTTTGTAAGGTTTA